GGCAGCGGGCGCCTTTCTTGCGCTCCGGTTTCTGCTGTGGAAATAACAGCTTCGCACCGAGCCGGGCAGAAGTGTGCCAGTGGGACTCGGGCAGAAGTGTGCCAGTGGGACTCGGGCAGAAGTGTGCCAGTGGGACTCGGGCAGAAGTGTGCCAGTGGGACTCGGGCAGAAGTTGCCGTATTTTTAAACCCGGCACAGCCGAAGCTTTATTAATCCCCCCTGCGACTCAGCTACCCCAGTGCTTGTGGGCCAGGCCCCTACAGCAAAATCCGACAGGGCGTTTGGTAAAACGGGGAGGGTGCTTAGAGTGACTCAGCCCATCTTTTGGGGGCTTTGGGTTAAAGTTAGAAATTTTTTTTTAAAGTGTAAAAACAACATGTTTGCCTCGTTGAATAAATGTTCTTATTTTAACAGTCATTACTGGCTCTGACGGTGAACAAAGTGAAACAATATGTTAGTGTCACAGCTGACTTCCCAGTTACTGAAGGCTTCACGAATTGCAGGTAAACAGATGTTGTGTGACCTAGTTTCCTGGTTTTTTTTTTTCCTGGGGTAATTAGGCTCCCAGAAATTTCTTTTCCAGCAAGCAGTGCAGGAGCGGTGAGGCTGTTGTTGATTCAGTGGTTGTGGATTATGTCTCTGATCTATTCTGTCAGTATTGTGTAGCTCTGATTTGACCTCTTTTAAGCTTAGGAGGAGAGTCTTTAGCAGCAGAAAGGTTTAATACAGTGAACAGTTCCTAGCCATTCCAAATTGCACTTACACAGTTCATGAGGTAAAATATTGTATTTTTAGTGTAATTTTAGCAGATGGTGTTACAGCAACGTAATTAAATTCAAATTAAAAGAGACTTTCTTGCTTTTGTGATGGGAATGTAATTTTTGTAAGCAGCTTCCTTTATAAGATTATTCTGGCCACAGTTGTCTGGTGGTTTGAGACCTGGGCAGAGCTTTTCTGAAGAAGCCTCTGCCTCTTAAGTGAAATTCTTTTCTTCTCAAAGGCCACCTTTTGCCAAGGTCAGCATCTTCCTTTCTTCGCTGTCATTCTACATCTGCACACTATAGCACACAGCCATCTAACAAGAGTGGAGCCCAGCCTCAGCGGTGGTATGCTCTGGACCCTGAACTGGAAGAGATGCTGATCCCCAGAAAACTTTCCATCAGCCCCTTAGAAAGCTGGCTGACAGTTAGATACTCCCTTCCTAAAGCAGAAGTCCTTAATGCTCAGGAAGGAGTGGGCTATGAACCTCTCCAGCGATATGACTGTCCCCCATCTGATGAGGGAGCTGATGTGGAGGAAGGAGAGGGGACACTTAGCAACAAGCTTCAGTGTAAGAACGTTTTGAAGATTCGCAGAAGGAAAATGAATCGGCATAAGTTCAAAAAGCTGCTAAAGCGAAGAAAATTTGTACGGAGGAGGATAAAGGAAGGTCGCAAGAAGAAACGTCAGGTAAGTTCAGGGTAGAGAGAACTCCTTGACATAAATGTGCCCACTTCTCAAACTGGTCTCTGTTTAGGTATCGCATGATGTTTTTAGGTGGAATTGATTTGGGGAAAAATGGCAGCAGCTCGGAGAACCTTAATGAATTCAGTATTTAGTGGTACAGTAGCTTTTTCTGTTTTGTGTTTGACCTATACATCTTCAGAAGTTGTAATGTAGACTATTTCTGTGGTTGTAAATATTTATGTATGGTAGTTACTAGGCGTAATTTTTCTTGTGTGACAGTAACTTATAAATATATGGCTAACGGAGGAGAATTTTAGTGTTTGTGTGAAAGATTAATTCACATGTCTGTGTTATATCAGGGAGACTGGTTTAATTTATTTCTTGTCTTGCCGACATCCTCAAGTGCTTCCCATTGTCCTTTTCTGTATAGAAGCCTTTTAGTTCCCTTAATAGAAGGGATGAGGGAAGACGTGGGCCTTCACTCAAACTGTAGATGTTCTCATTCAACACTGCCCTTCAGTAGTCTGTTAGGTTTGCTATGATATAGTTTAGTTCATTCTCTGGTAATTTTCACCTTGCCTAGATGCAAATTGGGGTTAATTGTAATTCCATTTCTTCAGATTTGTAGGAAGCAGTGTTGAACACTTTATGATGAGGAAATCCTCTTAATTTTCTTACAGTATTGTTTTCCATCTTCTCAGTTTTCCTCACACAGAACTTTTAAAATAATGCTACCAAGATCCTTGTGCATTTTAATGTATTTTCTTCAGTAAGGCTAACTATTTTGACACTTAGAACAAGCAGCCTACTTAAAAGCATTTGTTTCGTTTGTGTTATACCTAGATTCTCCTTGGGACACATGGGCAGTGGCTGAATACTTGAGTGTTGCTTCTGAGCTACGTTACTATTTTTTCTTTCTTTTTTTTTTTCTGTTTTAGATAAAATTTGAGAAAGATTTGGAGCGCATCTGGAAAAGAGCTGGTTTGAAAAATCCTCCTGCGGGATGGCAAACACCCAAGATATTTCTGAAAAGTTCAAAGCGATAAAAATAATGAGTTTTAACCTGTAATTGTAATTAAAAAATATTTAAGTACGCGGATTACTTTTAACCTTTTTTTGAGTGTGATGAAATTAGTAGGGGGAAACTTTCAATCTTGATGAGCAGTTTTCCAAGGGCAAACCTGACAACAGTATACTTTTCCTCCTTGAAAGACTGGTGTGAGCCCTTGTATAGTGACTTGGCGCTGCTGTGTACGGTCCCGTGCTGCTGCCCCCAACTCTATGTCTGAGCAAGTGTCTTAGACTGCAGCTGAATTTCTGAAGTTGCTATTTGAGGTTAGACTGAACAATGTACTATAAGAACAGTCGGTGGTGGGAGACAGGATAACTGAAAGAATGCTTCTGATTGTAAGTATGGCTATATAAGACACGAGCATTTTGAAAAGTTCTTCTCAAAATCACATTCTCTTGCTTTCGTAGTCTTACTATAGAAGGGCTGGTGCCTACTAAGAGTTATGGTGAAATAGGAATTGGATCAGAATTCCATAGAATATATCTGCAAAAGCTTTAATTTTCACTTATCTGAAGGCTCAGTGTGCATGTGTCTTACACTGGCATTGCATGAGCATCCTTAAAAAGCATATTTATTTTTTTCTGTTCTGTTTTGTGCCAATAAAAAAAATTGCTTTTTTTCTACGATTGACCCCTGTCATACAGAACATCCAGATATTGGTATCAGTAAAAGTTCAGAGCTAATTATTCATTAAATACAAAAACTGTTTTGTGCTGGAGACAACCTCATTGTAATCAGCTGGTTTTACATGATTCAAGAGAGTTACGAAAGCTGTGAAAAATATAGATGTTTATTTTAAACCCTGACAGAGGACTTTATATCTGGGTTCTGTTTTGGTTTCTGCTTTTGATTCTTCTGTTTGAGGCAGTTAACTTCTGTGTGATTTAGTTCTTCCCTGTCTGTATTCCAGCAGATAGATGGGGTGGACTGACCTCTGAGAGAAAGGAGGGAAAAAGAATGAGCTCCCTTAGGCTCATCATTCTGCAGCATACGGGGAAGCTACCCTGAAAATGCATTCCCTTTTATCTGCTAGGAGCAGAACACTTGACTAAACTGGAAGGGAAGAAAAAAACAATCTGTGGAACTCATTGCTACAAGATACAGTTGAATCTCGCTGCAGGAAGGGCAGGTGACTCCTCGCACACAGTGAACATGTCTGAGGTTCTGTGCATGGCTCTGCTGTTTTTGTCGCTAGATGGCAGTAAATTCAAAGCCTCTGAAACGCCTTAGCCATTAATGTAGAAGCTAGCTGGCTCTTTATGTGGGTATTTTAAGGAAAAGGTTACATCCCCATTTAAAAATGGATTAATATTGCTAGAGAACTGTTGGCATTCTGAGAACTGTATTGAAGTCCTGTAGAAACATGTGGTTAGCACATTGTTATAGTTCTCTTTTTCTAAACCATCTGTTAACAGTAAGGCGACTTTGATCAAAAAAATTAAAAAGATGTCCCGTCCTTTTTGTGCTTTAAATAGGCTGCAGTTGCTTTTAACCAAGACCAGTAGGACTCTTTCCTTCAGCCTATTGTCAGGATTTTAACGAAGAGGAGGATGTCTAGCCATGAGCCTTAGAAACTCGCCAAGCAAGAGAAGGTCGTGTGTTGATTCTGGCTTACAGGTTTGTTAAATATGCAGAGTGCATCTCGGTGTTTCTAAAATATCAATACGCATTCCCTGCACAAAGATGCATAGATGAAAGGCTGGGGCCTGAGAGGATTAGCACCTTTGAAGTCAGGTCCATGTCTTTTTTCCCCAGTCACATTTGTTTTAAGAGCCCTTATGCCAGCATTGTTGTTCTCTGTCAGTCTTACAGCTTCTCTTACTGGCTCTTAGTCCAAGCCGGCTGTTTTTCTGCCTAGGGAAAAACGGTAATCAGTTTGCACGTCTCCAGGAGATTGTTGGCTGCTGAAGAGTTGGGATGCCTTTGGAATTACACGGAGCAAAAGACTTTATAAAAGACAGCAGTAGCATGACCTGCTCATTTGTCAGTGCTGTACCTCTGATTCAAGTTCTGAGGTTTATTCCTTGATTTTCTTTTTGTCTTACTTAATCCTATAACTTGCATCTTTGTTCTCTGTTGTAGTCTCTAAATCTACAAACTGCCCAAGGGTATGTTATCCATTTTTCCCCCACTAGGGCTTAGACTGATCTTATCTCTTTCTACTTGGACATAAAACCTCTCTTGCTCTTGGGGAGCATCATGATGGGGCTGTAGATCACAAACTTGTCCATTGTACTCATGTCTGCTGGGATCATGCAGGCAGAGAACTTTGTATGCCATTTTCCTGCATCAGCACCACCACCTTGCTCTCTAACTTGTTTTTACATTGGGATAGTAACTAGAAAAGAGAATTATTGAAATAGTGGGAATTGCAAAGCATAATCATTCAGTACCTTGTGATGTTCCAGTGCAAGTGAACTCTTGCACTATGGCAATGATCGTGTTACGTTAGGGTACTTGTGTGGTGAATTGCAAGTCTCCACGAAGTAAAGTAGCTTATTAAATGGTATGCTCTCTAAGTAGTAGTCCAGTCCTCCAAATTGTAGCCTGCCAAGAGTAGTCATTACTTTTACATCTATTAGACATAATTACACAACCATGTATAGAAGTCTGGAACTACTGTGTAATTTACAAAAGTGTCTGTAAACCATCCACGGCAGTTACTGCCAGTCTTAGTCATATAAATGCTGTATTCCTTTTTGCTGAAGTACCTCAAAGCATGTCTCAGGATTTGTATTTTCTTTGTGGCAGATACTGCAAAGACTCTCTGTCTTACATGGCACTAATCAGATAATATATACTAGGGTTGTATCAACTTGCTTTAACTCTCTTGACCACAGGATGCAATTTTAAACTTTCTCACTTTGCTAAACGGGGAAAATCAGATAGATGAAAGCTGCACCTATTTTTTCTGTAGAGGGAGCACGAGTACATAATGTGCTATTCACAGAGTTTTATTATGAGTTGCTGTTCCTCTCCAAAGTATGTGCGTACCAACGGACCTGCACACTTAGTAAATGTATATGTGTGTGCATATGTAGCTGTGGTAGCAAAAAAAAAAAAAGGGACTGCAAACAGTGAAGTCTGACTTTTATAATTCTCAAAATATTTAAGACTTGAAGATTTCTCCATCATCTCATTCTGCTGTTCCGAGAGGAAATGGTTGAAAATCAGCAGGAGATTTCTAGAGGAATTCATGCTCTGTATTACAGAGACTGGAGATAACCAGTAGGATGGTGATTTTATGTTTGAAACTGCCTGACAGTCGTTGGTCTGGAAAGGTCCCTCAAAATCAGAATATAAAACCAATTACGCTCCTGCTTACATCCCTAATTCTTGGATTGAATGCACTTAAATACAGACAGCAAGCTCAGCTGAACAGAACATCAAGTTTGGTAGTTTTATCACAGCGATCAGGTTTGTGTTGAAATGAGTTGGCTCTAAAATAGGAAGTCAGGTGACTCGGAAGGGGTGAAAGTTCTGAATTTTGTTTATCTTAGCTAAAGTATCACATTGCACACTCGGAGGGTGTTCTCCCTTTCAGAAAGGTCAAAACCCAGCAACGTGGTGGTAGTGGGCTCGACATAGATGTAGCAGAAATACCATTTCTTTCTAATGCTAGCAAATAATGGTTGCTGGCAAACCTGAGATTTTAGTTGTCTCCTTGACCTGGATAGCAATGTTTCTTACTAGGGCAGGAATTAAATGTGTTTTTAGGTGTCTTCTCTAGAAAATGTGTTGTTCAATTGCATCAGTATGGATTCTTGAAGTTCTATAGAGGATTCTGGACATAAGATAACAGTTCTTTCATCCACACAAATGAATCCAATATAACTTACAAATGGTGAGCGGCGGGATTTGCATCTAACCATACTCAGTCTTCTGTATGCACTGGGATTACACTCACTTGGACAGCTGTGAATCAGGCCTGATTGTATATGGGAAAGGGAGCAATGCAAAAGAACTGCTTGCTGCAGCTTTTCCTCAACTATTGTGTGTCTAAAACAATCCGAGATAGGTTTGCTTGGCCCAGGGGTGGAAAAGCCTGGACCAACTGCCAGTACTTTGCATATCTAGACAATTGCTTAGTGGTCCACAGTGGTAGAGATGAGGTATTAGCAATAACAAGAGATTTTTAGAAATAATGCTGAAGGAGGAGATCTGCGATACTGACGGGCAGTAGAAAATTTATTTCAATTACCTTTTTATAAAGATTGCAACCACACTGAGATGTCAATCCTATTTCAGTGCAAATGAGGAAGCCAAGAAGGTTGGTCCCTTTGGTAACAAGGATTGAACCCCAAATGGGGGGAAAGTAGAAACATTTATAAATTGCAGCAACTTAGCCATTTGGCTTAACCTCTTCATGCACAAATAGCAGTTAACCATAGCACCTCTGATGGTCTGGAGTCTACGGAAGAGATTTTAGCTCTATATGGCAGCCATTTGTTCCAGTTTTCCACAGAAACAGGCTTCTTGGTAATTGTCTGCTGTAGTTTCAGCTCACTTCAAATTAATTCTATTCAACTCTGAGTTTGTCATAGGAAAAGGGAAAGTCCAGCAGTCAATACAAGATATTCCTTTCCTTTGGAAACCTTGCGCTTACCCTACAAAGCATGTTGGATAGTTTGCTACCTGTTAAAGCAGCCCTGAGGTTGTGCAGACAATGAGTCTGAGCTCATGGATGCCCTCTCCATGCTGTCGGTGGCACAGGCAGAAGGGACAGTTTGCTGGCTGTCCAGGAGGAGCCATGTGGAGAGGAAATGGAGTGGAATGTAATGATGGCTTCTCCAGGTCCTGCTCATGAGACCAGACCTGAAGCTGATTCAAACCAGGAGCTGCATAGGTTGTAACGGGACCAAAGACTTTACATTGAAGGAAAACACTGATCTGAATTGAGGCTGTTCGTAGACGTGCAAAAGGTTTGAGTATCCTTAAATCCTAAAGCATGGGGAGCCTGGAAAAAAAAATTATGTTGGTATTACCCAGACAGATTTTGTTAGGCTGATGGACCGTCACCTTGAAAGGGTCCAGGCTGAAAGAGTTTGTTCACAGTGTTTTCAACCAAGATTTCATGGGAGCAGGCATGTGTGTGTTGAAGTGCTGAGGACAGGCTGTGGGATGCTCAGTAAACCTGGCTGCACACAACTGTAGCAGCAAATGTAAAGAGAAATATTCTTCATGTTACTGTTGTATTGGCTCCTGATAGGTAGTGTGCCTAAGAACCTGTTTTTTTGGAGTGTGGGGATTTTTTGGTGGTGGTGGGTTGTTTTTTTAGGGGTGGTGGTGGTGTGGTTGGTTGTTTTTTGTGGGTTTTTTGTTGTTGTTTGGGGTTTTGGTTGTGTGGTAGGTTTTTTGTTTGGGTTTTTTTTTACATCAGAGGGAGAGTGCAGGGGTAATGCCTTCTCCTTTGCTGCAGGAGGATTTCTCTGCATACTATAACTCTGGCACCAGAAGCCCAAGTTCTTTTTATGTCTGTATTGTGAGAACTGTTGTTCTCTCTTGCATTAGTATGCTCAAGACCAGTCTTAAAAGGAGTACGTGTTAGCCCATGTCAGGGAATGTTTATAAGCATCTGGTGTACAAAACACACCTTTCAGGGGGACCTCACTCCTTCTGTTAC